AATGCAGCTACTTTTATTCATTTCTCCTCTTTTATGTTATTTTTTGCTGATGCATACGTAATCAACACCTTTCTTCAGATTGCTCAAGTTTACGTGTCGGAACGTACGATAATAAAAATAATTAGCAAATATGCACATGTGTGCACTTCGTATGCTAAGTGACGGCTGAAATATTATATACATTTGTGTATATTAATTACTTAATAAACATGAATGTACGCAGTTTACACCGGACAATGCCTTACACTGAAGTGAAACTTGAATAGTAAAATCAACAGGGACAGTATCCAGTTATAAGCTCGCAGTCGTAGCACAGTCATAGATTAGGACTAAGGGAACTTTCTAATTGATGTTTCTAAACATCCTAACCAGAATTTCTGACAGCCGTTAAAATTGAAAGCGTAAATCATCTATCCAACTTTGACAGTTGACTGGTTTGGATAGAAACAACAACATCAATTTAACTAATAAAAAATGTAAACAAAGAAAATTGAAGGGCACGCGAAATTTAAATGTATTTGATAAAATGTTTCGTAACCTGATGCATCGGAGTATTAATTATAACATGAAAAGTAGGGTCGATTAAAGAAAAAACGAATATTTTGTTTTCGCTTGGTACGATAAAAAATAGGTTTACATTTGTCAGAACCGCCGATATCGGACCACTATAGCATAAAGCTGTCATACAAACCGAAGGATCGGAATCAAGTGCTTGAATGAAAATTTTGACGAAATATCTTCATGAAATTTGGAACGAAGTATTATCTAAAGCAATAATTGAATCTCCAAAGAAATTTTTTGGATCGGATCAGTATAGCATATAGCTGCCATACAAACTGATCGATCGAAATAAGAATAAGTAACTTTTTATACCCTTTATGTTATCAAAAATGCAGTTGTAAAGGGTGTTATAGTTTCGGTGCACCCGAAACTTTTTCTTGGTTTCTTATTATTAGAAAGAAATATTCAATTCTATATGCAAAAATCAAGTTTTTTAACGTAAACTTTATTATTTTTCACGGGTTTTAAACGTTATCCAGTGTAATTGCACGATTATTTTCCAAATGTCAAAAATTTGTCAAGAAACATGTTCATTTTGAAAGCTGGTTGGACAGCTACGCGTCTATTAAATATCTAAAAAACTATAAAATATCTATAGAATATTTAGTCACAGCTCATATTCATAATTCATTATAAACAACAAAAAAATATTTGAAGATTGTGAAAAAATAAACAAAAATATTTTTAAGTTTTTATGTAAGTTTCTAAAAATTGTCAAACAGAAAATATTGGAAATAATTAATTCATTTAATTTAAACAAAAACAAACAATAATATTTCTATTATCTACTTTTGTCATTTCACTTTCATCGCTATAAGTTAGTTCTCGTCTAGATAAACGGAATGCAATATTTTATTAAATAGTGTGAGGCTTTACTGCTGGGTTTTTTAAGCACGTAATGCACGAACTTTGGAGAAGATAGCAAAAATAGTGCAGTAAAATGAAAAATATATATATATATATATTGGACCTGAGTATGTAAATATTTAAACAAATATATGAACATATACATACGTTTAAAGTTAAATTGATGCTCACGTGAATGAATGAGTGATAATAAAAAAAGCAACAAAAAAATAATAATTATAACCATTCACGGTAAGTAAAACGTAAAAATTTCTATTTATGACGAAAATAAAGTGTGCAATAAATGCATGTGAGTGCATGTGACTTAAATCTTGAGACAAGCGTTAATGAATAGAAACAATTTGAGACAAGAAATTGAACACATTCGCACTTGAAATTTATTGATAACTGACGGCAATACGCGATTTACTTGTTTTTATTTGTAGTTATGTACTACAGATTTCAATGATTGAAGGATGAACTTAACAAATTCGTTTATTTTCAAATAAATTTTTTTAGTAAATAAATAAAACCTTAAATTTTACTTTTCACGCGTAAAAATATCTCTTTTTAGTTGCAATGTTGCTGATGACATTGATCTTGGCCTTCAAAACAGAGAAAATCAAAATAAATACAAGACAAATGCAAAATGAATGAATGAGTAGAATGTAGCACAAGCATTCTTGAAGACTCGTCTATACAAACATAGTATGTGTGTATGTATACCACATGTAAATAAGTATGATCATATTGAAATTATATTCAACATTTTTCTTGTGAATATTTTAGTTATATATAAACAAAAAGTAAAAAAAAAAATCCATTTGACACTAAATTGTATTGTATTGAATTTTTTGTATTATTTAAAATATATTTAGGTACATAAAATGCTTTGTAATTTTATAACTTACATACAAGTATAATATATTCAGTTTTCATCAGAGATAATGAAATTGAAGAACCTCTATTAAGTAGTAAGTTTGGCATAAAGAAGTGTTTTTCAAAACAACTTGGCAGCGAAGAAGTAAAGGGAATAATTAAGCGAGAATTAAAAATTTTGGAATTTGAAAGAGACTTTACTACAAGACACTTTTTTGGATATAGTTATAATTGTTGGTGTGAGGAGTCGAAACAAAAATCGTAAAATTTTAAATTCTATATAGGCATTTTTTAAAAGGAATCTGCATTATTGAAGTACAAAAACTTTTGACACCACATCTGTCAAGATTTAAGCATCAAAATATTTATTTTGTTATTTTTTCAAAAGCTAGTGAGTGAAAGTTTGCTATGTTAATATTGTACAGTTAATTTATTTGCATTCAAAATTAAACATAGTAATTTTCGCATAGATTACAAAAATGTACAATGTATATATCTACACACATACATGCATATCTTTCTATAGATATGAACAAATGTGTGCTGTCCATACGTACATAGAGAGCGTGTGAATTTTATTTTTAAAAATAAATGGACTGCAAGAACGAAATATACGATATAGAGAAAAAAGATACATCGTATTCGGGACGGGACGAACGTGTTATTTAGAAAATAGTATAATTCTAAGTGAATTATACGACCCACAGAGCTACATATGCAAATGCATTAGAGAAAAAAAATATTTAATTTACCTCATTTACGCACTATAACATTTAGAGCTATTCTGAATTAAAATATATTAAGTGAAAAATTTTAATTATATAAAAAATTTACTCAGGCAAGAAATTAATTTTCTTACATAACAAATAAAACTTGTGAGCAAAACACTCACTTTATCATAATTTAGCAAAATTAATGTGTAAAAAAATTGAAGGTGTACTTATAATTACATAGAACATAAAACTAAAAACAACGCTGCATGATATTTGAAAAATGAATTTAGTACAACCTTTCATTTAAACAACAAAATGCTTAATATTTGTTTAGATTAACAGAGACATTGCACAAAATGATATCCCTGTTTATCATTGAGATCTAAGTAAATATGATTTAAATTTCGTTTATTTATTTTAGCAACAATTTATATAGAATATAATCAACGTGAGAACAAAGAGAAATTGTGTTATGAAATAATACACACCTAAAAAATGCAAACATTGCGCGAATTTGTGCGAAAAATTGTATACTGTGCTAATTTTTACAGCTTCCAGTTTTCCATTGCATAATTGTGTTCTTTATACCCTGAACAAGGTATATTAATTTTGCCACGAAGTTTGTAACACCCAGAAGGAAACGTCGGAGACCATGTAAAGTATATATATAAATGATCATGTCCGTCTGTCTGTCCGTCCGTCTGTCCGTCTGTAAATACGCGAACTAGTCCCTCAGTTCTTGAGATATCGATCTGAAATTTTGCTTCTGTCATTTTCTAACAAAGAAGCTGCTCATTTGTCGGAACGGCCGATATCGGACCACTATAGCATATAGCTGCCATACAAACTGAACAATCGGAATCAAGTGTTTGTATGGAAAACTCTTTTATTTGACGTGGTATCTTCATGAAATTTGGCGTTTATTATTATTTAAGGCATTAATCTAATCTCCGAAGAAATTGTATAGATCGGACGACTATAGCATATAGCTGCCATATTAACTGAACGATCGGAGTAAAGTGCTTGCATGGAAATTTTTTTTATTTGACGAGGTATCTTCACGAAATTAGGCACGAGTTATTGCTTAAGGCAACAAATGATTCTCCACAGAAATTGGTCAGATCAGATCACTATATCACATAGCTGCCATACAAATGGAACGTTCGGAATCAAGTTCTTGTAAGGGGCCTTTGTATTTGTGAAGGGTATTATAGCTTCGGCGCAACCGAAGTTAACGTTTTTTCTTGTTTACTTTATTATTTAATCGTTGTGAAAAAAAATTAAAGATTTTCGTCAATAATGAGTAACTCGTATTATATACATACGTAAATACATATGTTTTAATTTGCTTAAAAAACGCCTCATAATAAAATATTGCAAGGGTCTAGGCGCGGCGGGTGTATTTCCACTGCAGCAAAGCTTTTCAAGTACGTCTATTATGTTTGTTGTTTGTTGTTTGTATACTATACATACTCCACGTCACAAAATTAATCATCAAACACAACTTTTTTATTTATCGATTAAACACTAATCTTTGTTGTTATTATTACAGCAGCACTAGCAATTGTAGTTTGTAGTGATTTGGTAATTTATTTGGGAGCGGTAGCCCCCAATTTTCCACATGTTTCCGTTACCTTATTGATTTAACCAACAGAAGTGTATTTTGTTAGCAAGTATTTACATATGCGTATTAAACGTTGGCTCACTGTTGCAAAAGTAATAGCAATGCTTTATTTATTTGTTATTAAAAAAGGTACGCCAAACCGGTTTTCATTTTATCTTGCACCACTGGAAGTGCGGCTTGGCATATTTTGCAAATGCTTTATTATATGTTTATTCAATACCACACAGTTAATTTTTATCGCACATTTTTGCTAACCATATCACTCAAAATTGTATTAAAATATATTCAGTATGCGGTTGTGTGTGTTATACAATATGGAAGTGAGCAAATCAATAAATGTTATAAAGTTATTGCAAAAAAGTTTTCTTTTTGCTTACCTTTAAATTGCCTATTAACTCCATGAACTGTATTATTTGGCCCAGCCCGGCGTTGAAGCATGGCTTACCAGAAGAATTTTTCTGTTCATTGCCATTACAACTGCTACCATTACTAGTAGTATTTCCATCTTGTGACGTATGTTGCCCATTTGTGGTGGCCGCAGTTTGTTCGTCCTGCTTTAAGGTTTTAGGTTCAGCAGCCAGTGATGACATTGCGTTATATTGTGTTTGTTTATTTTCTAAACTTTGATTATTCTGTGTATGGAAGTGATGCAGATGCTGCTGATAGAACTTCTGTATCTGTTGAGAGCGTGTTATAGTTGCAGACACGATTGCTTTTCTATAATTTGAAGCATGCGCATTTGTTGTTGTTGTCGTCTTATATGAATTTACGCCAATTTGGTCTCGCGCACCAGCTCTGACACCACCGTTTTCAATCGCTGGCAAATCAACACTGACGCTACGTTGTGGACTAGTTCCACATTTGACTTCGTGTACTTGTGAATGCCGCAGTGGCTGATATGTTTGTTGTCGATGACTAGAATTAGTTGCCAGGAACAGCTGTTGCGTATTCTCAATTTGGTGGGGTTGCAGTTGTTGTTGTTGTGATGATATCATCTCATCGACTAACGATTGTGGTGACGTCACAATTGTCGGTGCCAATGCAAATGCACTTTTATTGGTTGGAGAAATTGCGCCTACAAACGCTGGTACCGCGGCCACTACATTTTCAAATTTAGTGGTGGTCTCCGACGATTCAGCCACAATTCGATTGAAGTTTTGGTTTATTAACTCACCGCCAACATTTTTAGCCCTACTGTTTTGTAGCTTTCGGAGAGCTTTGATCACTTGCTGAATGGAGAGCATTTTCATCGAGAGGCTGACATGGGAAATGAAAACAGAGCACAAATGAGTATTTCAAGAAAAAATTGTAAATATGTACGAATTGGGTGTATGTGTCTAAAGTTTAAGTGATAAGGTTTACGCTAGACAGTAAACTGAATTACACGTAGGTAATTAATGTACTTTTACAAAACCAAAACAATTTAATTTATATTCTCTGTCTGCGCCTTTACTTTGTTATATGTATACACATAATTATATATGTTTATATAATTACATACATGCATACATATAGGTCTATAAAGTGTTATAATCGATTTCAATGTATACCTAGAAAGTTAAAATAATTGATTGACAATTTGTTAAGAAACATATTAAGAATGACTTTGCGCAAGAATAAAATACTTTGTTTTTTCTCTTAATTAAATTAATTATTCTGACTATCACCAACTTCACAATGACTGAGAAATTTTAATTCATAATTCTAATATATTAATTTAAAATTCGTTATTTTCTTTACACACATGTAGACCTACTTATGTAGTATAAACTTATTCTATATATTTTTATATTAAGCTATAATAATAAATCCACTTAAATTGGCAAACCATAACGATTAACAAATTTTTGCATTGCACTTCGAAATTACCACGATGTTTCTCACCTTTCGCATTAGGCTCTAAAGATTTTTTTCAAATTTGTTTATTTATTATAAATATATATATCGTACACTTTTTTATTGTATTGTGCGCGGCACGTGTTATATCTCGGTTTCAACTTGCAAATTTCCGACACAACAATGAAGGACACAAGTGCATGCTTAGGTGTGCTGCTTTACTATGCGCCTCAGTTATCGCTTGGGGTTGCCTATCTCGTGGTTGTCGTGCTCAAATATTTTGTCGCCGACCGCCAAAAAGCTGTTGGCTATTGCCATTAAAGCAGCAAACAATTATTCGAAAGTGTTGAACGTATTGGTGAGGTAAATTAAAAATAAATACTTTACACTCTCGTCGTTTACCTCCTGCCCTTGGCCGTCGTAATCGTTTGTTGTTGCTTTGATGCGTGTTATAGCCAAATCAATAGTAATTAACCAAGGTAAAAAAATATAAGTTTACATATCATTATCATTCTTATGTTTTACAAATAATTTTAAAAATTACTAATTTTGCACCCGCAACATATACCGTTATTGCATATTTACATTTCCACTTAAAGTATACATATGTAAACATTAATTACCACGTTTACTCCCACACCGTTTACAAATTACACTGGTGCTGCATACATACGCCAGCTAAAAATACTGAATATTTTGAGAAATTTCTACAATTTTCCGCCTTTGTTTATTTATACAACAAAATAGTAATTGGTTTTAACTGGTATTTTTGGCTGAGGTTGAAAATGTGTCTCCTCACAGCTCAAATTTACCATCCAGTCACTATATGTTCTACTTCAGTCACTTTGTCTGTCATTTTTATTAGCAAACTTTTAATATTTTATTTTTCTGATTTGAATAATACTTTATCATATTATAGCTGTTAGGATGATATTATATCCCATTCACAAATTTAATTAAGTAGAAAAATTCGGAATTAATGCAACTACACTACAAGGAGGAACTAAATATAATACATGAGGATATGAAACAACAGGGTTGTGAAAGCGTGTATCGTACGAATACAGAGAGTTTCAAGGTTCTAAAAAATCAAAACACAAACAGCTTTTCTTTTATATATCGACATTAATTTTCACTCTCTTATATATCGACATTAAAATTCACTCTCTAATTAAACAGGCATTGAACTAAGATTTGTGTTCCTTAACTCCTCATACGACCCCGATAACTGCCAAAGTACAAAGTCACAATAAAATCCTCAAGTCGCTTGGCGGCAGCTCATGGGGAAAAGACAAAGAAACGTTGTTGGAGATATAAAAGGCAATCGGTCAGCCGGTTTTAAACTACGCCGCACCGATTTGGTCGCCTGAATAAAGTGTAACGCAGACGACATGCGAGAACACTGTACTCCGGACTAACATCTCTTGCTGTCTCTGATCGAACATTTACACAGCGAGGGCCGTATGCTTCCAGTTAAGGAACACAACGTGCTCCTCTCCAAGCAGCAGTCATTTACTTGAAGCGGAACCACCTCCTAGGATCATCAAGAGGTCCTTCCTTGACTAGAAACATCACTCTTGCACTGACCGCCATTCACAGTGGAGCCATCAACACTTTCACCGACTATCTCCCAGTGACCGGCGTCCTTGGAGTCAAACCACCACCCATTGCAGACGAAAAGCTCGAGTTGCCACGAGAATCTAGAGTGACCCTTGCACAACTTCGTTCTGGGCAGATTAAACCCCTACTTATCCAGTATTATCCGACATACCATATAGATGTCCAGCATGCAACGAGTGCCCGCATGACACTAATCATTTTTTTTCAACGTTGCGTGTTGAAGGTTTGAACTCCTTATACTCTACTAACAATTGTTCATAAATTTCTTTTTCTCTTAAACCTTTCAAAACTAAGAATCTTAAAACTGCGCGATATTAAATTTTTTCTATATTAAAATAATACTTTGACACGTCAACTTCAAATGTTATTTAAAGTCAATTATTTAATTTATTTAATGATTTTTAAATTCTACGTGCTGAGCTAACTAGCCGAAAGGTTTCGACACTGCAACACATTGGACAAAGAAAAATTGTTTTCACAATTATATCCATTGAATAATAGTTTTAGGAATCTCAAGTGTGCTGTATTCCAAAAGAGTTTTTTGCTTTTTTGAGCATCCGATACTTGCGTTACTCCTTTAATAACATAAATATGGCAGATAGTAAGAAAATCTAAACAATATAAAGTTATTTGTTATTCATCCACCAATTGAGACCAATAACATTGATAATTTCAACTTTTACTATGTTTGGTTAATTCTGCCATTTCATGTACCTTTATGTGCTTTTTTTTAAATAAAATGTTAAATTTTTTTGGAACTAGGGAACCCTGTATTTGCGATAACGAAGAATCTGGCATCATCTGATTAATTTATTTGAGTTTTTAAATTATCACAACAATATTAAAAGGTGAATTATCTTTTGCGTAGGTAATAGCAATATTTCGGATGATTCATACATATACGTCATTTTCTACTTACTAAAATATTGTTACTCTTATATCTCTTATACATTTATTCCCACTTCCATAAAATGTTTAATTTAAGCCCGCCAAGTTTATTAAAACCATCAATTCCGATCGTGCATCAAACGAGACCAACCATGACTAGTACGGTAAGTTACATAGAAAACATTTGAATTTTGTTCTTATTTAATATATTTCCTTAGTCCAATTTTGAACCAAAAATATCTTTGGAAACACCATTAGCAGATTATGAACGTCTCATGGAACAGCATGTCCAATCGGAAAATGTAGAAGATGATTATACGTTAGAGAATAATTATAAGAAAATAGCTACTCTCGCACGAGAAACTGTGGATAAACTTCTGTTTGAAGGAAGTTCCATTACAAAGGAGAATCAAGAAAAAATCGCAAAGTTTTTAAACAAAATAAAGGAGGATGCTTGCTTCTTTGACCCGACCAGTTATAATGAATGGATAATTGGTGTGCGCGACAAGCTGTTGAAAAATAATATGATTGACTTTTGGCGTGAACACATGGTCAAAAAAGAACTAGGTATTTGTTGGGCCAGAGATTCTGATTATTTTGATGACATGGAAGACCCATCACCGAGAGAATTTTACAATTATGCTGGCTGCGTGGCACCTTTTGAACAAGTGGATAACTCTAGTTTGTCAAATTTTTTGAATCTCTCGACCCCCGGTATACTTCAAGCACCAATTGCTTCTAGTAATGCTGTAAGTTTTGCCCTAATATCTAAAATTGTTCAATTAAATATATATATGTGTTTTTCAGTTAAATTTTGATGCTGCGATTACGTTAGAAACTCCACTAGCAGATTATAAGCGTCTCATGGAGGAAAATGTTCAATCAGAAAATATAAGTGATGATAACCTCATAGAGAGTAATTACCAGAAAATCGTCGCTGTTGCGCACGACATTGTGTGGAAGCTTCTTTTTGTACCTGGTTCCATCACAAAAGAAGATCAAACGAAAATTGCAGAGTTCTTAAAAAATATTAAAGAGGATGCGTGCTTTTATGATCCAATTACTTATAATGAGTGGATAATTGGAGTACGGGACGAATTGATGAAACGCAATATGGTCGATTTTTGGCGAGAGCACATTGTAGAAAAGGAACTGGGCCCTTGTTGGGCCAGAGATTCTGATTTTTTTGATGATATGGAAGATCCCACACCAAGAGAATTTTACAACTATGCTGGTTGTGAGGCTCCATTTGCTAAAGTAAACGAAAAATGACAACACCGTTGTATCTAGTGCACAGATAAAATGATTCATGTATTGCATGCATAAAAAAATTCAACATTTGCGTCTCGAAATATTGATATACTTTACTTCCTTAATTACACTTGTTTTGGCGAATAACAACAATTTGGTTACATATTTTTATATACATATATTTAAATTTTGTTTTGATAGAAAGTTAAATGTGTTTTTTCAAGAAAATTATTAATATTTAAAATTTTACACATCTTACACATAAATTATAATTGTATGTATGTGACGAACACAGGTGCGCGAACAAAATAGAATCGACGATAAAATGCCAGAATCAACCAGACAGCGAAATTCGTTGTTGCCAGAATGTTGGAGTGGCACATTTTTATTAAAGATCTATTATGTGTATCAGATACCGTTCTAGTTGAAAGTGCGACTGTGTAAAGAGTAAATGAGATCTGAATAAGAAGTTGTAAACTCGAATTATGAGTACTAAGCGTTAAGTAGTGGGAATTAGAAATAAAGTGTATAGACATTAAGTTAGAACTTTTATTTAGCAATCCAAATATTGAACGCAAAATTGGCTTACAAGCAGGCTTGTGCATTTACACCTTTTTTTCCCTTACATTGTAAATAATTGTCAAATATTATAAATAAATAATTGTAAAACAGTGTAAACAAATTTGTAAATTATATTATGTAACTCTGGTTTTCAGTAAAACTTGGAAATCCATCTTATTTATTGTGTTGTGCGTTCTAAAACAGAAATAAGCTTTGCCAGTGCTTCACAAAGAAATATCACAGAACATATATAATATATATAAAATACATTCTTTGCTATAAATTGCCAGAATCATCTAGATAGCGAATTCGTAGTTGCCAGAATGTTTTAGTCGATGTTAGGCTGCCAATTAAATTGGGACTTTTGTTTAACAATGATGTGATTGAACTCAAGAGTGAATTAGAAAGTAGACGATTTATCGAGAAATCCGTAACAATATTTACTTTATTTTAAAGTAAGGAATTTTTGTATGTAATGTAAATATATTATAGGCACTAACCAAGGTCGACGATTTTTTTGAAAAATCCTTTACAATATGACAAAACTTTTGATTGTTTTTTAGGGTATTACTTGGTTCTAGTTAGGATTAACATTATTTTACAATAAATTTGGATCGATTTTTTTTATATTTACATGAATTTTAATTTTTATTTAACGTTTTTTCGATATTTCCAATTCACATCGATCTGACATCGATGTCATTTATTGTCGACTTTTGTGCCTATTTTAACTAATTGTCAGCTGTGAAATTGTGGCGGCCAAATTTCACAACAAATCTAAAGACAAACAAATTTCTGTTTTTCAATTTTTTGAGTAAATTTAATAAAGTCAGCAAAATGGCATTTAATAAGGTAAATATAATTTTTTTCTTCTTAATTTCCAATGAAATTATTAATTGCATTTCTTTTAGGAATTTGTTGTAGCGATACTAGATATTAGACCGTGCGCCGATGAAAATTTGAAATTGAAATCTGTGAAATTAGTATCAGAAATTTTAAAAGATAAGGTAATCTAATTTCCATTAATATGTATGTAAAAACACAGAAATAGAAAGATGTATTTTAGATTTGTGCGGGTAAAAAAGATTTCGTATCATTTGTGCTACTTGGTACTGAAAAGACTTCCAACGATGTCAATGAGCATGTTTTTCCAGACAGTTATAATAATATAACACAATATCAGCAGCCACAATGTCCTACCTGGCAATTGCTTTTGAATTTCTATAAATTTGTTAACGAGGATGCTTGCGATGAGGGGGAATGGCTTGACGCATTAGTTGTTGCAATGGAAGTTATAAAAAGGGGTGAAGAGTAAGTATAACTAATTACCTTAAATATTCAATAGCCATATAAAACACTTTAACTTGTGCAGGTGCTTTAAGTTCCAAAAATCAAAAATACTCTTCTTTTACGATTTCAATGATGTGCAAAATTCTTATGATCTGTTTGACGTTATCGCACAAAATGTTGCTCAAACAGAAGTCGAATTGGTCGTAATGTAGGTGTAATTAATTTATATTTGTATAAAATGAATAAAAGCTTTACTTTTAATTATGCTTGAATAGATCAGAGAATATACAATATGTCGATAATCCAATTAGCGGCTTACCTAAAGCAATATTTCGAGATGACAAAAAAAGCAAACAACAACTCAAAAATGAGGACTACGCTTTGCAATTGATAACCAATTGTAGTGCGAAGCTCTATAATTTTGAAGAAGCTAAACGTTGTATATTTAAAATTACCAATAAACGTCCATGGGTTTGGAATAGTAAACTAACTATTGGCTCAGAGATCAACATCAAAATATCTGGTGTTATTTATATGAAAGATGAGAGCAATATCAAATTGAAAAAGTGTTGGGGCCAAGATGATGAGCTGGTTTCGCGTGAATTGAAATCTTTTGTACGTGGTGCTGAGATTGAGCCTACTGAAGCAGAACTCATTGATGGTTATATGTTGGGTTCCACACCAATACCCTATGATGAATCTTTGAGAGAAGATAAGGAACGCTATGAGACTGGCTTGAAATTTGTTGGTTTTATGAAACGCAATTCCATACCGGAAGAGTATTTCTGTGGTGACTCATTATACTGGATTGTGCATCAGAAAGGTATGAATGCTTCAGCGCAGAAATTGGATGCATTAGTGCGCGCTATGACGAATACAAATATGGCGATGCTTTGTTGCAAAGTGTATAGCGCTGCTTTTAATACTCCGAAAATGGTAGTTCTTTTGCCTAATAAGGTAATTAAAAAAATTTATTATTAATTATATAAATATTATATGAATATTTCTTTAACAGTTGCATCCCGATAGGCCTGCCTCCCTTACAATGGTTGAAATTGCCTATCATTCACAGTATCAGTACTTCCAATTTCCGCCCCTTCGTACACAAAAAACGGTGTGCACTAAAGAGCAAATCGATGCCATAGATGATCTAATTGATTCAATGGACTTAACTATAAATACGAAAGAAAGTGATGAGCCACGTAATACATATCACTCCGATCTGCTACCTTTCGAGTCGTTGGAACACATTTATGAGCAAAATGTGTTGGATGTTTTAGAAAGGAAAATAATATCAAATGCTAGTGAAGACGATGAGCAATTCGCTGAAATGTTGGATGATAAAAATTTCGTAGAAATCTTCTGGAAAGTGCCGGAAATGCGTGAAAAGAACGCAAAGCGTGCAGCAAAAGTAGTAAAATCGCTATTTACATTAGAAGAAAACCTATCGGAAAACAAAACAAACACAACTACTAAGGTTAAATCTGAATTTAGTCATGCAAGCACTGCAACAGATAGCAGTTCTGCATTGAGTTTTGATAGAGTTAGTGAGGATACTCCAGCTCAAGATTTTCGTCAACTAATAAACTGCATTGTTTTGAAAATCGAAAATCGTACAGAGCGTGATGCAAAATTTCAGATTTACGCAAAACAAATGCGCAATGCGATTTGCTCTTTACTATTTGAATCTAAGGGAAGTTTACATTACGAAAAGTTGGAAGAAGCCTTTACAATTTATCGTAAATACTGTTACGACTTCAACGCGTTTGATGACTACAACAATTGGATTAGCGAAATAAGAACACGAGTAGTACAAAGCGAACTTCAACATTTCTGGCAAAAGGTTGTGGTTGATAAAGATTTGGGTCTTTGCTTTGTGAGTACGGAGGCGGAGGAAAGTAAGCAGGCGCTAAAGAAGTTTTATGAGTTACCTAGTGATAAAATATAGTGAATTAAAGGTTTCGACTGGTTAAGAAAGATTTGTTGCTGTTTATGCAATGCATTTTATTTTATTATATTGTAAAATGTTAATATTGCCTTTTATGTAACCTAAATTAAAAGGCTAGAAACCATGTATATGCGCATCTGAATTTTTAAATATATATATATATATATATATATAAATTATAAACTTATTGTTTTATAAAGTAATTTTTATTTTTATTTGTTAATTATAAATTTAAGAATGACGTGATTGAAAGTTAATTAATAAAAGTATAAATGCTAAAATTTTTTTTTTTTAATTTTATAAGTGTTTTATTGGTATGTTAATACGAAGTAATGATCGAAATTGATCTCCAGGAGAAGTTCTCTGAACTTTATCTTTTTTCTTCTATTTTTTGTGGTATTCGCTCTGCTTAACAATCAAATTCTTTTAGCAGACTCTTTACAAAGAAAACTCCAAAAAAACTCAATTCTCAAGTTATTTAAACCTTACTACTAAACAAAAAGCAGGAGACCCAAAACACGAGTTGGTACGACGTGGTCGTGCTACAATGAATGGATTGTTAATGACCTCAGTCCATATGGCTAGACGCCGTTGGAAAAGCTCGTTTACTCAATTTTCCGTAAGCTGACCCTCAGAAAAACTATTGTAATTTTCCCTTCCCACCAAATACCATCTAGATTGCTGCTACAAAAACAAGTAAGGAAGGGCTAAGTTCAGGTGTAACCGAACTTTTTATATTCTTGCAACTTCCTAGGATACTTCGCATTATACATAAGACATACGTGCTATAAACGCAATCGAAGAAACTATATGTAATATATTAAGTTGATGTGGAAAACGTCAAAATAAGATCGGACTTCATTATATTATGTTTATAATGTTTAGACCAACTCCATTCATATTAAATATTGTAATTTTGTAACTTTTACGAAAACTTCTCCGCTTAATTTCAATGAAATATCACACATTTTGACCAACCTGCACGTTTTAAAGTCAGTAAGGTCGGAAATCAGTCGACAGGGTATATTGTGGGCAGAGAAAGGTCTGAACTGATTGCATTCACTTTCATTTCATTACTAAAGTACACTCAAGGACATGTTTCTATGTAAATATGTGATGTTAATTCACACACTGACCGACATATTGGGCACCAAGTCTGCTGAAATAACGAAAATCATTAAAGGTAATGTATGGGCGCTAGGGAAATATGTGAACCAATTTTACCCACAAGGATGAACCGTTATTAAAAAATCCGGCTCACTAAATTTTATGAAGATATCCCACATATGGCCGATATATGCGGTATAAAGTCAGTCGGAAGTCCGAATATCTTTATATTAGGTATATGGAGGCTAAAAAAATATTGACCCGATTGAACCCATTTGTGACATAGAAAGATACCATTATCAGAAAAGAATTCTCATCGAATTTCGTTTATATATCTCTTATATTGATCGGCAAAAAGTCAGATAAACGCACTGGGGTCCACACTCTCGGTATCTGGGAGCTTGAATAGTTAAGATTCGATTTTGACAGTTTTTAGACTTGGGCTGGCATACAAAGGTACTATTTGTGCAAAGTTTTATCCCGATATATTCATTGGAGCTTGATTTGTATACAGGAAAGTGAGAGAACAAGTTGGAATTTAAAGTTGTGTTATATGGGAAGTAGGCGTGGTTGTAGTTCATTTTCACCAATAATTTTCGCAGTATAACATGGGAATGTCAAGATAATAGTACCTACATAGTTTGGTTGAAATTGGTCGAGTAGGTCCCAAGATATGTGATTTCACCTAAAGGTGGGCGGGGCCGCGCTCATCGTCCAATTTTGATACCGGCTCCTATAAAACCCTCGTGTACAATCCCGGTTGTAAAATTTATGTCTTTGACGCATTTAGTTACTGATTTATTGCACTTTTCGTAGTTTTGAACAAAAACGTTATATGGTTAGTGGGTGGGGTTATTATTCGACTGCACTTATTGTCCCACTAAGAGGTGAGTGTGGTAAGAGGTGTTGAAAAAATGTATTCTGTGCAAATCTATGTTATATATGGTTTGGAAGATAAATCCATTAAACCTATTAGAGGGCGGTGCCAAGGAATATGTGTACCAAGCTTCATCAAAATATTTTTTTTTTTACTCAAGTTACAGTTTACTCGGACAGACGGACGGACAGACAGTCACCCGGATTTCAACTCGTCTCGTCATACTGATCATTTATATATTATATTATATATATTACTCAATGTCTATTTTGATCAGTTTTAGGTGATACAAACAACCGTCAGGTGAACAAAACTATTTTACTTTGTAGCAACATGTTGCAAGAATATAAAAACGAATGCGAGTATGTCAACCCCAAGAATTTATGTGGGACTCACATGTGGCTCAGTGTATAATTAGTTAAATAAAACTTATTGTGTTACCGTCATACAACATTCCTCAAACAGTTTTAGAATGCTATTGCCGTGCTAACAATTCTTTGACGGATATTAATTAAACCAGGTTAATTCCGGTTATGTAGTCCGATTCTTGTCGGAGAAGAAAAAAAGTAAATAACAGTATTTATGTTAACTGAAATGAACTCGCGGGGGAAAGAAGTCCATATCACCAGCATAGCGCTTTCCGCGTCGTAGAGTAGTTTTTTGTCTCTGTTAAAAATTCAATACAGACCTTGACAAAGTTCAGTTAGAAGTTGGCAATATTTATATTTGCTATCAACTGGCTAAATTTAATTGTTGGGCAGTTGTCATAAATATGTATATGCTTATCTTGAAGAAATATGCGTGCAAACTAGTGCGTTGGAATTTTAGAAATATAATATATACGCAATTCTCTTCAGTGAAGTACTGTGCTGTAAGCCAAATTAACAATATTTAACTAAATGAGGGGTTTTTTAAGTGGAAATAGTATATATCCATCTCTTTTTTGATGAACATAATGTTAAGGGGCAGTAAGGTTAAAAACTTATAACGCCGAGAGAGTTTTTTGAAATTTAAATATTTCATCAAAATTTTGGCTAATTTGTTATTGTAAAATTAAAATTATTAGCAAGTTTGAAAATATCATTCCGGCGTTACTTCGCAAAATATAATAAGTACAGAACTAGCGTTAAACATTTCAAACGAGCGGTGCTGTAGTTGCGAAGTAACGAGGGACACCGACTTTGAAAACGTGTGTTGTGTGAAAAACGCTTTAAAGTTCTGAAACGTAACACGTTCATAGGACTGGTATAAAAATGCAAAATTTTGCTCAAATCGACTTGAAATTTAGACGCAACGTTTTTGAGATATTATGCATTCATTTAAGAAAAAAATTCGAAAAAATGTTTTAAAATCTTACTCACCCCATAAGCAATAACACATTTATGAGAAAAATAAAAGCACTGCATTTTGCTCTCAAAGGCTGAGGTTAAGTTTGGGTTTATAAGCAAAATATATTCAAAAAACGAAAATCGCTGTGATTCTGATTACCACTGTGCGACTATAAATCTGTGCCCTGACTGCATTTGGAACAGTAAAAGCTTTGATTGAAGATAAATTAGTTTATAAGTTTGGCGTAAAAAATAATTGGGTATTTTTTGCAAGAACTAATACCACCAAAATTCATAGCAGTTTTCAATTCTGTGGATCTTGAAGAGTGGCAAATTGAACAAACAACTGGTATAAATGCTAATAACTGGCATAATTAAATACAGATAGAATAACAAGTCGATATAGCTTTTAAAAATGTCTATATTCTATTCTACTGAATATATTTGTTGTTGCGTTTATGTGTAAATTTTTTTTACAAGCGAATATAGTTCAAATATGGCGAGCAGAAAAGTAGCGTAACAAAGTTGGCTAATAAATTGACTCCATAATTGCATGCAAAGAAGAATGGGCACATATTTACATACTACGTAACCATACATACATAAACATGTCTATATGTAATTTGAGTTAGAAGCTGTTGTAGCTTGGCTAAGCTAAGATAGATTTCTGCTTACACAGATGACTGTGCGTTTGCTTAACACGCTTGTTGATGATCTTTGCGGCATATTTTACCACTTATGGTTTTTAGTGCCTTAGGCTTGTTTACAAAGTTCAACGAACCTATTTCTAACGTTAAGAACAACTTCCATGTTTGTTCTCGCTTTTCTAGCTTTCTTCAATTTTTATACACTCGAAACGTGTTGTAACAAAGTATTATAGTTTTGTTAAGGGTTTACGGGTAGTCAGAGGCCCGAAAAAATGAGAATTTTCAGCAATTTTTTTTTGCTATTAAGTCATGTTATTTTACAAAAGTAGTAATATGGCATTATTACGCAATGTTTTGATTTGTAGTCACGAAAATTTCCAAAAAAAAATTTTTTATTTCCAAAGTTATAGTCTGTGTTGACCCAGTTCCAAAAAAAGGTCCTTGCGGTGACAATCATAAGTCCTTGGAAATTCATCTAAAATCAATCAGATAAAAAAAATTCGTTTTATAAATAGATAATCCTGGGCCTGATCGAAATTTTTTTTTCAAAAATTAACAAAATGGAGGCCTCAGGAAATATTTTTCTAGATTTTTGGGAAAAAATCAACAGTTAATTGACCTTAAAAAAATCGAAATTTTTAAAAAAAGAATCCTTCGATCATGCCCGAGTTTATTATGTATTCTACTTGTAAAAGCTGTATAAATTTCATTAAAATCTACTAAGCGGTTTTCGAGTTACAGTTGTCACCAGTTCAAAAAACTTAGTTTTGAGAAAAAAGCATTTAAAGTTTCACACTAGAGCTTCCCAGCGCTTTGAAGTGTCCGATCGCTTTTTGTTATTTGTCGAATAACTCAAAAAATAATTATCGGATCAACTTGAAATTTTCAGAGAATATTTTCAAGGTCAGGGTAACTTCTCGCCCTCAGCAAAGTGCATCTCGCCGCTATGGAAGAGTTCTCACTGGACACTGTCCAATGGGCACTCATGTGGTACGGCCTAGAGTACTATCCGATGCTAAATGCCAAAGTTGCATGGAGGAGAGCGAGGTGGAATCATCATGGCACTTTCTCCTCCAATGTCCGGTTTTCGCTAGGCTGAGATTGAAATATCTCGGCAATCACACTTTTGGTGGACCTGAATACTTAGCCGAAATGGATATTGGCCGTCTTAGCGTCAAAGCGTTTCGTCGACTTGTAAGGGTCTTTTGATCCAGATTATAGGAGTTTTGTAGATATCACAACGGACCGGCGTCTTAAGCTTTCCAAGTGGGATCCTTCTTGGGATCGACCTCCTAACCTAACCTAACCTCTTAAAAGATCTTGAATCAAATTAACAGGGTATTGAAGTAGGCAAGATTTCTAGGGCGTGCGTTTGATTTGTAATCTATGATCTCACAATCTTAAATTAAAACAACCAAACTTGCTGAGAAAATTCTTCTAGAGGTCTTCTATTGGTAAACTGTTACTAAAAAATATTATATACACTATTGAAACGAGCTGAGTTTATTTAGCCATGTCTGTCTGTCTGTTTCTGCATAAACTAGTCCCTCAGTTTTTGAGATATCGAACTGAAATTTTTTATTTTTCAAGATGCCTTCAAGAAATTTGGCATAGATTATTGTCGAAAGCAACACTACAATCTCCAAATAAATTGAACTTGATAGTAATCGCAAAACGTTTTTCGTTGAATGCAAACCATATATAATACATTTGTACATATGTATTGTAGGTTTACATAAGTAATGTCTTTTAAGGTTTTAAATCTTTCAGCGACTTTGACATTTGCAAATTGCGAGTGTATACAATTTTCGGTTATGCCCGAACTTAGCCCTTCCTTACTTGCTTCCCCGAATTTCGTTCTTCCTTAACATTTCATTGTCAGCAAAATTTTGGAATGTGTTCATTATTTTGAAACCTTGCACTATTAAATAAATCAAAAAATGTATTGTATAAATCTAGCTGTTTCAGCTATAAAAAAATTTAAATTTTTTGTCTCGAAATCAAAATTGGTTCCGCTGATGATAATTTTTTATGCGCTCATGTTACAACACATCAAAGCATACCACAAACAAAGTAATGGGAATCAAGTGTTAAAGAACTTGTAGTTAATGAAAATAAAAAATCTTTGATATTTTTCTATATATTCAAAATAATATTCGTACCATACATTCAGAATTTCAAATATTCATATATCGATCTTCTATACATATATCGATGCTTAATTCAAATTTTGCTCAGCATTTCACTTCTCCAATCGTTTAAATAAACATAAAATTTTTTTCTGAACGCAGTGAATGAATAGATAGTGAGTGTGGATTTGAAAGTATATTTATTTAGAAACGTAACCATAAAAAATCAATAATAATGTGGGTTAATAATATATGTATATACAACTGTTATTATAAAAACAAAATATAAAAGCTTCTGTACATAGCGAATATAATTTCATTACGAGCAGTTGTTCAAATGTTAAAACTTTATCTCCGGCCCAATCGTATACATACCTTTGTGTGTGTGTGTATATCTCTATATACTTATATAGTGCATACAGTTGCTGGCACAAATTTGTTTATTAGGTCAATTTAGTATAGTTTTCTATTTTCATTCTATCTTTCGACATACATAAGTAACTGCAAACGAATGCGTTAAAAAATTATTAAACACCATAATTTGCACACGAATTATTTGATCAATTGCATTTTTTATACCCAGAACAGGGATTGTTGAGTTTGCCACAACGTTTGTAACATCCAGAGGATGTCGGAGACCGTATAATACATATACATACTTATATACAAGTGCATATATATATACCATATATATATGTATATATAACTTAACAATCCTAATATATATATATATATAAACAGCGTGACGAGTTGAGTCGATTTAGCCATGCCCGTCCGTATATATGCGAACTAGTCCCACAGTTTTTGAGATATCCATCTGAAATTTTTCACACGTCCTTTTCGCAGCACGTCAGCAGCTGTTCATTTGTCGTCCTTATCCAGTTCTGGAAAATTTTTATTTGTGAAGGCTATCTATTATGGTTTCGGTGCAACCAATGTTGAAATTTTTTTGTTTTGCCAATTTTAGCCACCGGAATTTCCACACGAATTATAATATATGTATTTTTGTTATTTCTCTTTTGGTCAATCAAAAAAAAAATTTTATTGATAACGAGTCTGCATAGAGTTGAGGCTTAAATGAAATTGCTTAGTATAATATAAATTTATATTTTTGCAATTGACGCATAATTTTTAAAGAATGTTCAAAGTCTTGCACGTTTTCGGGTCATTAAGAAAAATATTTAGTAAAGTGAGTTCTTGTATATGTATATACATTAGGTTGTTCTATATATCACAAAGATGTGTTTTTGCAAACGCTCCCTAAAGGAAAATTTCCAACGTAAACCTTCTCTTTATATTCAATTTTCACTGTGCCTAATCGTATTTGTTTTCACCAATGTATATAACATGAAACTTTTTGATTTTAGAAACCGGTCAGTAGTTCTATCCCAAGATCAAATGTAAAGTTTGCATATAACATACATATGTACATATGTTCGTCATAAAACCTTATCTAAGCTAAATGACTAAAACAATCAAAAAGACGAAAAAAAACAACTAATGTATTTCTAATTACAATACATAGCATATAAAGCGTTATAGTCTGTATATATAATTATAAATATACAAATTTCACACTAAGAAGAACGCTAACGTCACAACGTTGGTTATAAATTTCTTCGCAAAGAATTTATATTTTTTCGTAGTTGCTATGTTTAAATACATACTTACATAGTTAGCCTTTCATTATGTTTACATTGGCAAGAAAGTGTCAAGCTATTTATATAACTTACCTTTTTCTTCTAAAAACAAGTTTAACACATTTTACATATTTTAGAGACACACGTTGAGATTGTAATACCGTTAGTAGGTAACAAGCAAAAGCAAATTTTTGTTTGCGCGGCATAAGATTACGCTTTTTTTATTTATTAATACAAAAAAAATATAACAAATGAAGAAGGCACAAAATAATGGAAAAAAATGTTAATATATTTGAGCTTACCACATAATCTAACAAACATTATGACTTATAACTAAAGACCAAGTACATATGCATTAATATAAAAAATACAAATCAGTAGATTTAGCTGCCAAGTATTCCAATTTAAAAGAAACCACTTTCAATCACATAATTCTGTTATACAGAGTAAGCAAATAAAAAGTAAATTAACATTAACAAATGCGTTATAGTTATTTTTCTGGCAATATTACTAAAGGCATTCAAATTTTGTCACTGGTAGACTTATTACGATATGATTTACAATCATAAAAGTTAGCATTTAGACATAGAAGTATAAATAATTTAAGCCTTTTTACTATAAAATAATTTAGTTTAAAAGTATTGACATTTTCAAAGAATAATTTAAAACTATTAAAACACATTGAGGGTATCTAAACGCACATACATATATATATATATACATATGTTTGTGTTATATAATTTGTATAATTTACTAATATTTGTTTATAAACAATCCTTACTGGTTTGATAACGTCTGATAATATTCGGATAATATTTTCCACGCTTCCGGCACCATGAATCCATTAGGCGGTAACTGTCCCGTTCTAGCTAACGTACGCATTTTGGTACCTGATATAAACTCGAAATCATCTTTACGGCTTGGATCAAAGAAGGCCATTTTTGAATTGCTTTTGTCATAAGCAGCAACTCGGAAGGGTAATATCTCTATATTATCTAAACCGGGTGCCATTTTTAGCACTCGTGCACCGTGTGTCGCATCAAAAAGATTGCCATCAGGGTAAAGTGTTTTATTAGGATGTGGTACACCTGCTGGGTCTCGACCAACAATGTAAAAATTTGCACCGGCATTCATTCTTGCTTTAGCATGCCATTGCACTTCAGTTGGCCCAGCGTACAGCATTGGTGAGGGGAAAATAGCTAATACAGTATCTGCTGCTTTTAAAACACCAGAATCAAGCACTGCTTGGTGCTGAGCAATTCTTACGGGCAAGGGGACATCGTCATCTTTTGTCCAGCCACCAAGAGGATGTAGCAATAAAACTGGTTTCTTAAATCCCCTTTCAATTAGTTGCCGTTTCGTATCTTGCATTAGTAGTGCGTGACCATTATGAATTGGATTTCTTAATTGAAATGCAAAGATTGCGTCTGCTCCCATTTCTTTGAATTTTGTTCGCAATTCATTTGGTGTTAATCTGTATTGATCTAATCCATCATTCCAACGTATACGTTCTAAAACTTCCAAGTCTCCACCGACCAAATAGTCTCCACCCTTAGCTATAATCTTGATATATGGATGGTCCTCATGACTTGTGCCAAATTGGCGTGATACTCTCTCCTCTTTACGTTGATAATAAAACTCTGGCTTACGCAAAATGGCCACCGGTTTGTCTTTATATGTAAGCGCCACAGACGATACACCATCTAGTTTATTTTTTATATCCTCTGTAACAGCTAAAACAATTGGAATTGACTGGTTTTTACGAGTTGTGGCGTCATCAGTAGCAATTGAATTGAAATGTATGGTTTGCAAAAAAATATCTTCTCTCATAAAGCCTTTTAGCGGATGTGCCCATCCTTCGGATAAGACTTGAACCCACTGAAGATCTATTTCGGTTAAAGCGATCGAATGTAATGATTTGGCTTCATGCAGAAGTGATTCTTTTAGTTTTGGTTCTACAAAAAGTTCTTCGATTTCATTTGAGTTTGCCTTACTTTTTGGAATGATCCCTTCTTCTTGCAGAAGATTTATAACTAACTGTGTAGATTCTTTTATAGTAAATCCGGCAGTGTTAATAACAATTTCAGGTTGTACAGGTTTTTCATAATCCTGTGTTATTCCAGTGAATCCCTTTATAACACCTTCTCGTGCTTTCTTGTAAAGTCCCTTTACATCACGAGACTCGCATACCGACAATGGAGTATCCACAAAAACTTCGTAAAATTTTAAATCGGCTTCTTTATGAATTTTCCTAACTAAATCGCGATCTTCAGCAAACGGTGACACGAAACTGCAAATTGCAATTACTCCACTGTCAGCAAATAATTTTGCTACCTCCCCTACCCTTCGAATGTTTTCTTGACGATCAGCTGGTGTGAAACTTAAATTTTTATTTAATCCCGTGCGTATGTTGTCACCATCAAGTCCATATGCTGGGATGCCACGTAATACTAGGTAAGCTTCTAACTCAAATGCAATGGATGTTTTACCAGCACCGCTTAGACCAGTAAGCCAAATGGTGCATCCTCGGAAGCCACGACATAAGCCTAAGCTATTGCCCCTTAACTCTCGGGTTACATTGTGTTTTTGCTCAGAAACATTTGTTGCAACTTGAAGGCACGTCTTCTGTTTCTTCTTTAAAGATTCTTCGCTCATTATAGAAATATGTTTAACAAATTTAGTTAGACCAATTTATTTTCAATAGAAACACAAACACCGTCGTTTTATTTCAGCATTAAAACAAAAGAACCCCGAGTACTATTAACCGATAAGAATACACGTTAATATTCCTTAACTAATCGAATATTACTGGCGTTGAACTGTCATCTTTTTTATTGATAAGGCACAATCTTCAAAAAATTTCTCCTTTCAGCTGGTCAATTTAACATTTTGACAGCTCAAATTTCGCTGTCAATATTGCCAGATGTAATTAATAAGAATAACAATAATCATTAGGTGACCGAACAAGTAATGATTTATGTCATGGATAAAAAAGCTGCATTTTCAATGTTTCATCTCACTAACTAAATTGGAAAGCTTTTATCTAGCGCCATCTGTTGGAATGCAGAAGAAACTGATTTCAATGCTTTCAGAAAATAATAATTTCATTGACAAGTTGTATTAATGCCGATTATTATATTGAATATCATTATTGGGTCTCGATTTTTTGAATATGGTATAGAAATGGATTTGTTTCTTGTTATACTTATTTATTCACAGTTATATTAATTGGGTTTTTTAATTATATTTTTGGCATAATTTTATGTCGAATCGTATTCCATTTTTATTTGTCCTTCATAAATCTCAGATTTCATACTTACATATTTATACCACAATTAATAAAGCTAGGCTCCGAAACTAATTTTGTGACATTCAAGATACTTATGTATTTCTATGTTGTTAAGATCGCGCTCCCTAGCAGCAAAGCGGAAAATATATATTGAAAAAGTCCAATGACAATAAACAGTAGAAGGATTAGCTGCCCGACCATGCACTTGCTCTTTGAGAGCGCAATTTACTGTTATGAAATAAGGAGTCAGATACTCCTGTCACTGGATACCCCTGCCACTAGTTGGAGAGAAAAGAATCCAAGTGGGAAATCATCTCTGGGTTGGGAAATAAACTGGAAATTAGTGCCAAATCAGTCATCAGTGTTGTTGGTGTGGCTTTTGTTGTTGTTTCGGATTAGTCATGTGATAACTTTTTCTCTAGTTACACTCCATTACAACTGCTACTAACTATAATATATTCCTATATTATGTTTTATCAATAAATTTCTTTATTAAGACGTAAATTCTCAAGATTAAGTAAATCATGAGTATTTAAAAATCATTAATTGACTGAATATAGTCGCAACTGACCAACATTTCGCAACACTGGACAAAAGCAGGTAAAGAAAATTTTCGCGCTTGCATACATTTAGGCGCGTTATTTTAAAGTTAAAGGTGTGCGAAACAAGTTAAAAGCTATGAATGTATGCGTTTCCTATTTAACGGTTTTTGTGGGCGCTGGTGCATATGTTTGTGTGTGGGGTGAAGGGGGTGGTCTTACATTTTGAGAGAATTGTAAGAAAATATGGCATGAATAACTGCGCGTTGAGCTGGCGAGGATGTTAGTGGCATGAACACAAATATTTCTTTTTTCACTATGCAAAGGTAACCGACTATATGTAATGTATGAGGTGATACAAATATATATATACTCATACTCTCACAAGCATACAGCGAAAGGTAATAAAAAATGAAATATTGCCGCTATTCGGCATGCCATGAAAATCGGATAACATATTTTATGCGAAAAAATATTATTTATGGCGCACAGAGGGAGCAACATTTCATATTCGTGGGCGCCAATGTGCACACCATCGCCAACAGGAACAACAACTACAACAAGGTAATAATATCAAAAGCAAAAACAAAAAAACAGAAAACAAAAAATCAGCGTACTCATGCTCTCAAGTAGGAAAGTGGCATTTTGTTGGTTATAGTCCTCTTTTCGCGTTTGGCAGTTACCTTATTTCTCTCATCTCATTTCCACTCTATTTCGTTACCTTTTGCTAGGTATTCAGATATTTCGGTAATGAACATTTGTATTTGTTTGTTTGTCCTAGGAAAATGTAACACACTTTGAGCACCTACTAGTACTTACCAACATCTAATAGACACCAATAGACACAAGGAACAAAGTTTATGTGCCCCAAACCACGTTCTTTTTCAAGGTCTTATAAGTGTTTAACTCACCTCGATTTCTTAACACAGTAAAAGGACGTTCTCACAAAGGAAACCAATCATAGCTCGAAACGTGTAATAAAAATCTTAGAAAGCTTAATAAGTAGACTTTTCTGTCATTAGTCGAACACCGTCTGTATATATACAAACAACTTGAAAGTCTTACGAAAACTATGGTATACAATATTCACTAAAAATTTGATTTGGAAATAAATTCTATATTTTTAGTGGCGAAATGAATTTAGATCCTGCGTCCATACATCTTCAAAAAAGTGTAATAACTAGTTGCAATCCTCCATTTCTATTGATGACACATCCCAATAATATCGCTGGTTACTATATTTTGCCACTATCGATCTTTTTAATTAGCTCTTAATAATCAGACTTTTTTTGATTTAAATGAATCGAATGCTTAAAAATGAAGTTTAATTGTTTCTTTTCCTAAGATTTTTTATCATTGAACTTAAAAAAGTTAATATTATGGTGACAAACAAAGCTTTATCGGCATTATTGTACTGGTTTTTCACAACATTTTGTCTTATATTTTATCCGATAAAAATTGTATCCTCTGATGTATTAAAAGCGTCTTGGATTTTTCCAGGTGTCTACAAAATGATTAATTCTTAAACTATGGAACATATAAACATTTAGGTTCAGTACTATATTCGAAATATCTATATTAAAATCTACTAAGCTTTATTCATCTTATTAGTGCAGGGGAAAGGTATGAACATATTATATATTACTCAATATTGAGTCACATAATGCTTAGAAATATTTTCGCATTATTTTAGTAATACAAGTATATTTGGTTTAAAGACATTTGAAAAATAAAGTCAATCAAAGGTGAGGAAAATATTACATAATTATTTTAAAAACTATTAAAAATATTATAACGGATGATCCACGTAGAGGTACTCTTTTCAATAGCCTTTTTTTGACAGATCGCTTGTGAATTATGTCCAACTGTTACTTCTGTTCAGTATTGTTTGGAATTTCATGGGAAGACTTACGTCTGAACAACGTTTACAAATCGTTCAACTTTATCACCAAAAATCACGTTTTGTAAAGAAAGTGTTTCGCGCTTATGGTCAACACAATCGGCCTACTGAGCGTACTATTCGCAAAACCATCACCCATCTTGGGATTCAGCATTCATTATTGGATAATTTTTGACCGAACAGACAACGTCCAGCACGCGGAAAAAAAATATAGCGGTCGCAGCTGATAGTGTACACGAAGACCGTAGATAGTCGATTCGGCGCCGTTCGCAGCAACTCGGACTGACGTATAGAAATACTTGGCACATTTTACGTCGAGATATTAAATTGAGAGCATATAAAATACAGTTTGAAGCCGCTCGACCTTCCCAAGCGACATCGCTCCGCTCTATGGGCTCTTGAATAGTTCCAAGATGATCCCACGTTTTCGAGTCAAATTTTGTTCAGCGAGCAGGCCCATTTTGGGCTCAATGGGTAAGTAAACCAGCAATATTGCCTCATTTGGGACGAACAGCAACCTGAAGAGATTCAAAAGCTGCTATTTCATTTAGAAAAAAAATGGTGTGGTGTGGTTTGTAAGCCGGAGGAATCTTTGGTCCATATTTCTTTAAAAATGATGGCGGTAAGAACGTAACCGTCAATGGCGACCGAAATCGCGCCATTGTAACCAACTTCTTGATGCCCGAAATTGAAGCTCGTGAGCTCGGCGACATTTGGATGAATTTATTGCCAGAACACTTCGGTGAGTAGATAATTTCACATTTTGGGCCGGTCGATTGGCCACCAAGATCATTTGATATCACACCGTTAAACTTTTTCCTGTGAGGATATGTAAAATCTAAAGTCTATGCGAGAACATCACGCGTGTCATTCGCCAGTTACCAGTCGAAATGCTCGAACGAGTCATCGAAAATTGGAGACGTAGCCGCGGAAAACATTTGAAAGAGATAATTTTCAAAAAATAAATGCCAAAGAAAGTTCTTTTTTGTTTCGTAAACTACGGAACCTCGAAATGAATTACCCTGTATAAATTAACCAGATAAAATTCAATGAAAATTTTATGAACCAAACTACATTACATTTTACATTTAGTATTTAGAATATAACTCATATATGGCAGAATAGCGTGGTTATATCATATTTTTTCGATTAAAGGTCGGTGGTAATAGTCCGATTTATATACTTGTAGCGATATCACATTCCAATAGCGACAAGAAGTAAATATATCCAGTTTTAACAAAATAACATAATTTTTACTTAAGTTATCGCTTACCCGAATAGATGAAGGTCAGTTCGTCTTAACATTCTGATCATATATCTATCTCAATAAGTTGTAAATGAGAATTTGACTTTTTTGGCGTCCATATATTTACTCAGCTAGTTCGGATTTTATCTATATTGCCAACAGGTTCCGTTAAGATAACCAAGTAGTTTATTAATATACATATATCTGTAGTCTCGTTTCTTTTGAAACTAGTGACAAAAAAATACTGATCTAAGGTGACGAAGTGTATTGAGTCTGAAAACACTAAATTGTAACTCTTTTTTACAGACTAAAAAAGAAAAAAAAATACATAATTTTTATATTGAATTCTAGGTTTTATACAATATAATATGCACTGTTTTGTTCGATAACTTGTGTTATTTTGACGTAATTAAATAATACCAGTCTCATACAAGCCTTCGTTCTTGTTGCCTAAATCTGGGACAGTCGATTTGTACAAGCATCTTTTGCGGCGAATTTCTTAACAGCAAAACTATTCGCTACAGACAAAAAACGGTGAATGCATAATGACCTTCCAACCAAGCTCCTGGAGCTTCTGGCGAGTCAATATCGATGTGTGTGATCTGGCATTGTCCTAATGGAACACACGTCTTTTCCTATCAAAGCTAGCCACTTCTGCCCGTTTGCTTCTTTTAGATGGACCGATTGTTTCAGTACTGGTCTACAGGAAGTTCATAGTTCATATCATATATTATTCTCTCTGAAACACACCAATTACATAGCAAAACCTTCCTGACCGTCAATCTTGGTTTGCGCCGACTCACTTCGATTCGACCATGCCCATTTTCGCTTGACAGTGTCGTAAGTGACTCATTTTTCAGCACCAATAAACTGCCGCTTCAGGATAGATTTTGTTGTGATTCAGCAACGATTCGCTGTTGGAAATTCGG